TACCTGAATCTACATTCACATGTTTAAATGAAACCCCTTTAGTAGTTACTTTTTTGCCTGATGGTAGATTTGAAGAAGTAAGATTATTCAGTACAAATGTTTTTCCTTTATCATATAATCCAACAACTGCAACTGCTGCACCTTCCCATTATGCTTTATGTTATTATTTATTAAATCCATAATTAGGTATTTCAGATTCTTATTTTACTTATGCATCTGCAAATTTCTTAGATAAATATACTTTCCAACCATTTTTAGCAATAGTAGTAATTAAATCAATATCTACAATCCAATCATATACACTTGTTTCATCAATTTCTATTTCTTTCAAATCCTATTATAATTCTTTAAATTATATAGGTTTGTATTCTAAATTAAATCCTGATGTTATTGCATTTGGTTTAGTCATAACATCTTCATGTAATACAGATTATTATTCTTAATGTTAAATATTTGCATTTTTAGTCAGGAAATCCTAACTTAAAGCTTTTATTGAAACATTATTAGGAATCTGAATCTTTTAGATTTTAGTTGTACTACTTTTAAATCTCCTATTTGAATTAATAAAAACAATTACCCAGTTTATCTTAATGATCTAATTTCATGCCATTTTTTCATAGATTCATAATTCTTTTCTATTTTAATTATATTAGTTTCTAATTGGGATAAGTGCTTCTATCTTGATATTTATATGATAATTACAATTATTCTTCTCTCAGTAATACTTTATCATATAATTTCTTTTTATCATTACTTCTAATCATAACTTCATAATAGAATCCTTCAAAATAATCTTTTAATCTTTTAGGAGTAGTTTTATCATTATTATCTAATTATTTAGCTTATCCAATAAAATGTAATAATAGCTATTCTTCTTCACTTTATATTCTTTTTAATTCATAAATCAATTCTTTAATTTCTGCTTTAGTTTAAGGTAATGGCATTTTAATTAAATCATCATTAATAATAGATTAATCAGTATTAAGTAAATGTTAATGTTCCTCATCTATTGCTTCTTTTAAGAAATCATGAAATTCTTTTGCAGCTGTTTTAATTCTCTTATCTTCTAGATTCTAATTTGGAAAGAATGGTTTCAATGATGACATTAAATGATGTTAATGAACTTAATCTAGTTTTTCACTACCTGAACTCATTATTAATTATCAAATAAATATATATTAATTACAATCATTTCTTTTATCTATCATATATTGAAGCACCTGTCATTTTAAATAGGATCTCAGGACTTCTATAAATCCTAATCAATAATTCATAAAAGATTTCTTCTTTAAAGAAGTCTCCATCCACTCTTGCTATATAAATGCTTTAACACAAATCAAACAATTCATATGTCTCTGGCATTTCTTCAAACATCACTCTTGTACTTATTTTATCATAGGCAAATCTTAAAAATCTACCAATTGTCAATACAAATGTTGCATATATACTTATAATTGACATATTTGTTGATAGTGCTCCTATTAAACTTCCAAATGCCAATTCATTTAATACAAAGAATTCAACTCTATTCTATGATGATGCTATATAATATATAATAAATCATTTATACCTCCTATCTATTTCAAGTCTGTAGAATCATCATTTGGTACTAATTCAAAAAATACAAATTCACTTGTTTTCTTATGTATTAAACGAATATCTTAATAGTAACTGATCTCTTCTCTTATATTCACTGGCTCCAATCGTAATGCTTAAGTTTCAGCTGACTCTCCTACATATAAAAACTTTGGAACCAACACCTTTATATCAAATACTGCATCAGGAGCTCTTGGAGCCAAAATCTTACCAAAATTATTCACAAATGTATCAGGTGCCTATACAATAGATTATCCTGTAAATGATTTTGCACCACCTTAACTATCGCTCTTTTAAAATACCCATTCACATTATATTTCTACCTAATATTCCTATGATTTTATCATATTTCTTATCTAATCTCTATAATTCTCAGGAAGATTCCATTCTAAATCACTGAATCTCTTTATTCTTACTTTTTACATTCTTTCTTACCATGATGTTTCAATTTCACCATATATTTTTTAAATCTTTTTAAATTATTCATTAGGGATATCCAATAATTCTAAATCATTGACTTAAAATAAGGTAAAAAATAATTTATCATCTTAACCAAAGAATGCAGCTTTAATACTAAATTTACCATTAGTAATATTATTGATTTCAACTGCAGGATTTAAAGTACTAAAAATAAGAATTGGTAAGATAATAATGAAAACAATAAACATTGAATAAAGACATCCATTTAAGCATTTATCAGAAGATGATCTTGGATATCCTAATTTATGATTTTCAATACGAGAATCCTGATAAGCTTGACAGATGTATAAATTAGCGAATATATCTTCAAGTCTAAACCATTAGATTAAATCTAAGGCAGTAGTGGTAAAAGTCCAATCTATAATGACTCTCAACTCATATAAAAATGGAATCATTCTATAAATTTTAAAAGCCATAGAGTTGGCAGGTTTATGAGAATTAGTAAATATTTGAGTATACTTTTAGATAGGATATCCATATCTAATTTGTACAGATGAAATAATAAAATAGATGCAAACCAGTATATATGCAAATATTAAATAGTAAGATTCTTAGAATCCTAAAAATAATAGAAAATATTATATTACTTTTATTAGTTTTTTATGGTATAACAAAAAAGAAGTAATAATGAACAACAATAATTAATATAAAATGAATGGCTACTTTGATCATTAAAGTATATTTCTAAATATCATTTCCAGTTTAATTTTATCTATCATTTCTAGGATCTTTAGTAACTTTCCTCATAATAAATAATGCTCTATCAGTAATAATAATAGCAATGACTACTAAAAGTACAAAAATGACTTCAGATGAAAATCTTTGACTTTATCCTTGTGTAATGTGAGCATAACTTCTTTTAGCTATGATATTAGGATAGAAGAGTAAGAAATAGACTAAAATGATTAAACAAATAATAAAGCCAGGAGCATAGAAATCTCTACCAACTTTGATTTATTCTGGTAATACAACTCCATCCTTTAATAACATTTATTTAGTTGTTGGATCATGCTTTCTTTATTCATATATAGTAGATAATGCATGTGGAAATAAACGATAATAATATTTAACTATTTATTACCAAATTGATGTAAAGGATTCTTAAATTGATATCATAATAGTTTATTATTCTTTTTATTATTCTTATACTTAATGTTCTTCTGAAAAGTCATCAATTTCTTATTCAGATTATTTAGAAACAGAATCTTATTAATTTTCACTTGATTTATCATCTATTTATTATTAGAATTACGGAATAAAGTATTTATCTAATGATAGTTTCATATAATCCCAGATTCCTTAAGATTGTAACAAATATCTTTATATTAAAAGGGCAATAAATAACAGTAATTCAATCCAGATTGCATTCATAAATGTTTCAATTCCTTAATATTTCCTAATACCAATAACATAATCAATTCTAGTGATTTTTTCTTATTAAGTTGTAACTCTAGGTTCACATGCTTCTTCTTAAGAGAATCCTATAAATCTATATGGAGGTGAATCACAAAAGATAGGCATTTAGTATATAAATTTTAATGAAATGATAATTATTGTGTATATGAGTAGAAAATTCCAATATCTTTTAGATGGAACAGGATTCTCTAATAATCCATAAAGGAATGCTGAAAATGGATAGAATAATGCAATTATATTAGCATTAAAACAAGCATTAATTACCATTAATAAAACACATACTACTTAAAAATAATGTGCTACAAACACAAATATGAGTACTGATAATTTCTTTTTATCTATTTCATTTTATTATTATTCTTATTCTCTTATATAAGTATCATGAGTAAGAATATGAATAATTAGAACTTTTAAATTTTCTGAAAATGATTTTTATGGTTATACAATTTTAGATTCTTCATCTGAATTATCATCTTCAGATTTCTTAAAATCTTTTGCACTTTCTTCTTCAGATATTTATTATTATCTTTCATCTCTCTCACTTAACATTTCAAATGATTTACGATCTCCTTAGAATTCTTCAAATGGTATCATTTTAATATCTTTCATTGATGTTGATTTTTTTAATGGTTATACTTTAAATAATTATGCAATTTCATTTTCAACTTATAATATTTTTCTATCAATTTCATCTATTACTCCAACATGATAATTTGTTAATCCTATTCTATCATTCAAATATACTCTTTCTAACTATCTTTTCTCTTCTAATAACATTAATTTTTTTAATCTTAATTTCAAATCTTTTTCATTTATTGAATGTTTAACAATACAACAAGCATCATATAAATGTATTACAGGTGCTTTATTTTATTAAGTAATCTTTTCAGCCTTTATTAATTTCTTAGGTTCACCTTTAAAACCTTAAAACTTTTCAGAATCAAAACTTGTATGTTATTAATTATCTTCAGATCGTTCTTCTGCAAATTAAATAATTTAAAATTATTCTTCTCTTTTTGGTGTTAAATAAAAGAAACTCTTCTTTTTCAAACTATTATTATCATCAAATTAAAAAAAGTTATCCCATTTTTCTACTCTATTTTAAACTCTTTATTATAAACTCTCATGTACTTGTTTTTATGCTTATACATATTTAAAATCCCATATTCTTTTCAAATGAATTCCTTCTATCAATTAAATAGCACTAATCTTTTATTATTATTATTATCTCTACAAATATGGATCTACATATATCCTCATATATGGATGAGCCCATATATTTCTTTGTAATAAACCAAGTAAAAAAAAGAATGCCATCAAAGTCTCCTTGTAGAAACCAAAACGAAAACTAAATGTTAATTAATAATTAATACTCTAATGTCTTATTCAAACCCAATAGATGAGATAAAAACATGTATATCACATCTATAGTTGATACTCCTTCATATTTCTTTAAAATATCATTAGTTTATCGAGCCAATAATTAAAATTCATCTTAAAGAAATATAAAGAAATCACTATTGTAATAATGATTATTCAATTAAATCTATACACATTCTACATTATCATAATAATATCTATCATTTTCATATATTATTGGACATTTAATAAAAGGAGCTTAATATAAAGACATTAATATCATCACAATTGTATTAAACAATATTAACTTACTCCATATTGTATTTCTTTCCTTCTCTAATTTCTCACTCATATATAATAAATTTATAGCTAAAAAGAAATAGATACAAGAGATCACTTCTGTATATGATTAAATATCTGATGACATACCTATTAATAAAAATATTATCAAAGCAAATTTATAGAAATAACAAAAAATGAAGAACTTTATAAAATCCATTATCTTTGTTCTATTTTCTTCATAAGTAAAATCATTTTTATCCATTACATTTGCTTGAATCTCCTCTCTATGAGGATGTAAGTGATCATTCATCTCTTATTCTTATTGTCTTCTTTATACAGTTTTAAAATGGCGATAAAAACATAAGGAAATCAATAAAGCAATAAAATTAATCCATAAATCCCAATTTGTATAGCCTTATAAAGATAACCAATAATTCCAATCAGTTTAACATTTCATAAAATCACTTGTAGAATCATCAGGATCATCATTATTAAATGATTCCTTTCCTTTAGGATTACATGAATAACTAAAATACCACCATGGTTTACGAACATCCCATGATGGTGGAGTCCATTATAATGTACCATACTTTCTAATCACTTCTAACATTTACAATATACATAATGCTCCCCAAGCTTATCCAAAATTACCAATTTTAGAATGTCTATCTAATAAATATGATCTGTTTGCAAAAGCACTAGCAACAACTATATAAAAAACTGAAAAGAAATTTCTTTAATAATATGCAGTGATCACTATAAAAAATAAACACACTTCTAATCCAATCTAAGTAAACAGATTATCAACTGATTAATGAAACTTAAGTGCTCTATAAAAAGGATATACTTTATAATAAAACTACTATTATTGCAAATTTGATTTTTAGGAATAGTAATCTTAAATCTTAGCAAATCTTTCATTTATATCATCTTATTCATCATAAAAAATAGATTCCTATGATTTTTCTTCATTTCCTTATTATTCTATTAATTACTATTAAGAAGCATCAGATTCATTTGTATTTTACTCTTAGATTATATTTTATTATAATGAATGTAAGAGTTACTATAATAATTATAGATTAGTAATTTCTCTATCAGTAGTAATTTAAAATAATTGTAAATAATCATTCACTTATTATTTGAACATTACATTCAATACTTATAGCATTTCTGATAAGTGAAACATTATTAATAAATACCAATATTTATTTTAATATTGATTCTCTATTCCAATCCAAGATATAGTTTCCTAACCTTAAGCATTTCTCAGAAGTTCTGCTTAAAAAATATATTGTATAAGTATCTAAATAAAAATAATAACCAATATTGGTATAGATATGTTTTGCCAATTGTTTCTCATTTCATTCAACATAATAAGGAATATCATGATGGCAAATAGGAAACCAATATAACTTTATTAGTAGACAGAAATAAAGAATGAAAACATGAAAGTCACTTTTTGTATATGATATACACTATATACACAGACTTTTATGTATATACAATATAAATAGTAAGCAAATGTATCCTTTTTGTATATCTATTTTTACTATTTTTCTTTTTATATAGGTGGTGCTAAATAGGCTCTTTCATATGCACATAAAACTAATAAAGCAATACCAGTTCCAACTAATTTAAGAGTATTAAAATCTGGATCCAAACCAAAGTCACTCAAAAGAGTTGGTTATTAAAAGTACAATTCTACAAAAAAGTAAAAGAATTTAATTGTATATGTGTATCTAACAATTAATATTATCAGAGTTAATGTAATCATAAGTGGCCAATATAAGTATATTCTATCCATAATGATATTGAGTTATCCATAAATGTAATATAAATAGAGAAACAACTAAAAAAAGAAGATAAAAATCAGTGACAATAAATTAGCAGGTGGTATAAAGGCTACAATTAAAGCAATAATTTAACAAAAAATTAATCCATTAGTTTATAATATTTACCTCAAATAATCAAGATTGTAATCATTTAATTTTTTCTTATATTCTTAATAATGATCAGTTTTTTAGATTACTTAAATTTAAAATGTTAATAATACACATCCAATAATGATATCATAGTATTTGTAAATAAAATAGAAAGAGAATTTGAATTATTATGTAACTTCATCTAAGCCACCAAATTTAAATATGAAATTGAGTGTAGATAATGATCCTAAAAACATCAATTACATAGAATATAATATGAATAATATAATATATCCAATGCTTAAATGATTTCTCATATACTTTCTTCTTTTTTAGAGTTGTGCAAAGGCATACAGTATAAAGAATATTAAAAAGACTCCTCTAAAAATATCTGCATGGCTTAGAGCAGTAATAAGAGAATAAATGATAACAATTTCATCAAAGTGGATTAAGAAACTCTTCTAAAATTAATAATTTAGACTTGATAAATTTGATTTAAAATTCGTCCAACAACTTGGTTTTTATTCTCTATTTGGTCTATCTTTAGTATCTAAATCATTAATTTTCTTTTAACGTCTTCTATCATCAATAGTTTATTATGAATAAACAAGCCAACTAACAATGAGAATATAGAATAAATCAATGATAATTACATTGAATCTATTATAAAAATAATCCCAAATAGCAAATAATTCATCAGGATTAAATTATGGTTATTCATAGACTCCCAAATATTGAAAGTAAGCACTAACCTTAAATTATGGTATATTGAATAATTTCAATAGGAAAAACTAAGCAAATGCTAGATATAAAATAGCAATTGCACATTACCAACGTCTAGTTGCCTTATATTACTTTCTCTTTAATTATCCAACTAATAAAATCAAATATACCAATCCTCTCAATATACTAAATTATTTAGATATCCAAAACACACTTAAGATCATAATTACCCCAAAGTAATTTTCTCCTAAAAGAATTTCAAATGATGATATTTTCAATCTCATATCTTTTTAGATCTCTTTTTCTAATTCTTCAATTTCTTCTTCTTATCCTATAATCAATTAGTAATGGTATGCTCTCATACTCAATATTAGAATTGTAGTCATTAAAATTATAGCAAATATTTTGAATATTCGATAAATATTTAATGTTCCATTTAATGTACTAAAAGAATAATTCTATTATCCTGATAAAATTAATAACAACAATGAAGCAAATGAACAAATTACTATACTCTTTATTACCATTTAACAATATCTAAATCTAGTCCTTTTATTCAATATATGAAAATGTAATGCTAACCAAATCAACATACAAAGAACCAAAAATAATGTTACTAATCCATCATTTAAACATAACTACACAATTATTAACATTATTATTTTATCCATCATACTCTATTGTCTTAAATAACTAGTTTTCCTCTATTAGAATGTGTAATTCTCATTCTGATCTACCTATTCATATTATGGCATTTCACTATTCCAATAGATTATCAATTCTACTATTAGTAATCCTAAATTCAACAACAATTAACATAACATTAAAGCAAATACACTCTAATAACCAAATATATATATTTCACTATTAAAATTTAACCTTTCTATCATTGTCTATTCTACCCCATTTCTCATTAAACAAAGAAATAATCCTATTAAAAAATATAAACTTATTGTCAATGTTAATATCGCATGCCATTTCATCATTACCTTGAACTTCTTTAAAATCTCTTCACTAAGAACTATTCATATTATAACTTTATTATACATTTGTATCCCAAGAAATATGTGAATATACAATAGAAGATCCAATTTATTATTGATAAGTATGACACCTTATACCAAGAGACTAGTAAACATTATTTCTTTTCTTACTTATTAACAGCAGGCAATAATACACCCAATGGTACCATTTATTCAAATGAAATCTCTTTCTCATAAAACGATATATTTATTATTATTAATAATTAATATCCACAATCCAATGAATTATTATTAACATAATTCCTAAACAACTTATACTTCCAATAAACTTTATTGTAAATATAAACTACCCTCTAACTCAGATGTCAATTAATAACATATTTTCATTTGAAATAAACATTTTACATCTATCACTCTCTACCTATATTACATCCCTTTCTAAATTTTTTGATAAGATTTTATATGAATTTTAAAAGTAACTCTTCCTTTTAATTAAGATTAGAAGTTGATCATCTAAAACGAATTTATTTTACAGTAAATATCCCCTAACACATTAATAAAGAATTTCAATATTTAAGAGATAAAACTAATTAGATTCTTAATTAAAGAGAATAGAAATTAATTTCACTTATTGATAATTAATGGATTCACAACAAATCCTTAAATAATATCATTGATCATAATGATAAATGGTAAATAATATGAAAAGAGATTAGAATTAGTTTTATCCATATTATGATATAGATCACAAGAAGTAATTAATAAATATGAAAAAGATAAAATTAGATTAGTTACAAAAGTGAGAGAATAAATTAATTAAGTAAAAAGTGTTTTGAATAGATTATTTTATATTAGAAATTAATATTAATTGAATTAATAATAGATCAGGTTAGATAAAATGTTAAATTTGGAGAATTCTCCAAAATCAAGTGAAAATTGCTTATTTAAAAGTGCAATTCATTTATATATTCCTTAGGAATATCATATATCAACCTTATTACACATCTGAAGAATTTGTATTTAGTTTGTATCCTGAAAAATAACAAGAATATATATTTAATCAATTAATTATACTTCAATATTAACCAAAACAACTAAATTTTGATAATTTATAATTACAATATGAGAAAATTGAAAGTTTTTAATTATATGGGCTAAATGATCATACATGTTATGTTATGTAATTTCAAGTATAATTATAATATAAATTTTAAGATTCATTTAATGATTATTAAATTACAATTAATAAAAGTAATTTAATCAGATTAATAATTAAAGTGTATAAGAATAAAGAATGGATATATAATGAAAATGGTTTAGAGTAGTTTGATTTTTTGAGAATCATGTGTGTGATTATTAAGTGATAACTATAGGAATAGATTGAGTGATTAAATCATTAAATTGTACTTTATAATTGATTAGAAGAATAAAAAATAGAAGTCAATTCACAGCTTCAGTAGAAATAGATACATTTTCAACTGTAGATATAAAGGAAGACAATTTTATAATTATAATTTTAGGAGAGTAATTATTATGATTGAATTAGATAATAGATTTATAATACTTGATTAGTTATTATGCAGATAAGAAAGTAAAGATTTAGATTACATATAAATGAATATATATATAGTTATAAATATATATAAATAATGGCAAAACATCATCCGGATTTGATTATGTGTCGTAAATAACCAGGTATTGCAATTGGTAGATTATGTGAGAAATGTGATGGTAAATGTGTGATATGTGATTCATATGTCAGACCTAGTGTTTTAGTTAAAATCTGTGATGAGTGCAATTATGGAAGTTTTTAAGGTAGATGTGTGATTTGTGGTGGAGTTGGTGTTAGTGGTATTCTCTTATTTATAATCTTAGATGCATATTATTGTAGAGAATGTGTTCAATAAGAAAAAGATAGAGATGGATGTCCCAAAATTGTCAATTTAGGATCTGCTAAAACAGATTTGTTTTATGAAAGAAAGAAATATGGATTTAAAAAAAGATGATTATTAATAATATATTATAAATATGGTGCATATTCCTCATTTGATTGTTGGAGCTGGACCGTAATACATTATAAACTTTTTAGAGTTGGTCTCATTTTGGGTCATTATTTTAAGAGATTTAATATCCCTTTTCAAATATTCGAAAAGCAATCCTATCTATCTGCACATCCTTCAGCTCATTACTTAAATATGAGAACAATGGAAGTAACATATATCAACTTACCATTAGATTCTTGATGAATTAAATATCCAATTACCATTAGAAAATATCCAGCATTTTTAGAATTATGTATATTTGCGTAGAATTGGAGAAACCCCTCTTAATATTA